GTTGCCGCCGTCGCAGCCCCCGTTCGCTGACTCTGGGGGTGCTCGTCCCGGTCGCCCTGAGGGTGGTCCCTCTGGGGGTGCGGGTGTGGAGAGTGCCGGTGGTAGCCAAGGAGCAGCTTGCGGTCCAGGTGTCGCCGTTGTGCCGCCGCAGCAGCAGTCCCCACCGGTGTCCGCCCTTCGCCTGCTCGGCCTTCCGTCCCCCGACCCTCCGTCGGTTCCTCCCCGACCGTCTCCTCATCTTCCTGTCTACGGCCCTGTTTTCCCTCCGCCAGACTCGTCCCAGGCCCGTCTTCCCCCGCGTTCCCCTCCTGTGTCCCCTCCCCTGTCTCATGACCCGACTCCTCCGTCCCACGTCTGGTCTCACCGTCCCTCCCGTGCTCGTCCTGCCTCGCGTGTCTTGCGCTCCCACCCTATGTTGCTTCGTTCCCACGCGTCTCGTCCTCCCCTTCTGCCGTCGCCTCCTCCGTCCTCCCTTGTTGTTGCGCCCCCCCCCGCTGTCCGACTACCTTCGTGCCGCTCGTCCTCTCGTTCCTCGGGTCCTTGCCTCTCTCGTTACCGACCCGTCTGTTCCGGTCTCGTGCCTTGACGCTCTTGTCGCTGCTGTCGCTGACTTCGCCTCTACCCGCCGCCTTGACTACGCCACCGCTCTGGTCTCTGACCCTGCCTGTCCTCAGTCTGTCGGGGGTGCTCCTGCCCTTGGCAGTGACGTCCTGGAGGACCGCCAGTTCGAGCTTGCTTTCCTCTCCGAGGCTGCTCCCCATCTCTGTTCCATGCTGCTAGTCCCTGAGGGTGACCCAGACGCTTTCGACATCCGGACCCCTCGCACTTACGCTGAGGCGACTTCGGGACCCTGGGCCTCGCAGTGGATAGCTGCCATGGAGCAGGAGATGGCATCTTGGAGATCCACCGGCACCTTCGTCGACGCAGTTCCCCCACCTGGGGTGAACGTAGTCGATGGCCGCTGGCTCTTCAAGGTGAAGCGCCCTCCTGGAGAGCCGCCTGTCTTCAAGGCGCGCTATGTGGCTAGAGGCTTCAGTCAGCGCGAGGGGGTGGACTTCTTCCAGACTTTCGCTCCGACCCCGAAGATGACTACTCTTCGGGTTCTGTTACACCTAGCTGCTCAGCGTGACTACGAGCTTCACTCCCTCGACTTCTCCACTGCCTTCCTTCAGGGCAGCCTACACGAGCAGGTCTACTTGTGTCGCCCTCAGGGCTTTACTGGCACCTTCCCTCCTGGGACCCAGTGGCTCCTGCGGCGCCCCGTCTACGGCCTGCGCCAGGCTCCCCGTGAGTGGCACGACACTCTCCGTGCTACGCTTGCTGACCTGCAGTTCTTTCCGTCTTCTGCAGACCCTTCACTCTTCGTTCGTGCTGGCCAGACTCCGTTCTACATCCTTGTTTACGTCGACGACCTGGTCTTTGCCACAGCAGACAGGGACGCGCTGGCCTCCGTGAAGGTAGAGCTGCTGAAGAGACACACCTGCACTGACCTTGGAGAACTGCGCCGTTACCTTGGCTTGCAGATCTCCAGGGACAGAGCAGCGCGCACCATCACCCTGACTCAGTCACACTTGGTGCGCCAGGTCCTTCAGAGGTTCAGCCTTCAGTTCTCCTCTGCACAGCCCACCCCTCTGCCTGTAGACCACAGGCTCTCCACTCCAGTGCCTGAGGAGTTGGTAGAGCCTAGCGGCCCCTACGCAGAGCTGGTGGGTTGCCTCATGTACCTGATGACTTGCACTCGCCCAGATCTCGCATACCCTCTCAGCATCCTGGCTCGCTTTGTGGCCACAGGCAGACACCGACCGCAGCACTGGTCTGCCGCTAAGAGGGTTTTGCGGTATCTTGCTAGTACATCGGGCATGGGGTTAGTGCTAGGAGGACGCAGGCCAGTGGTCCTTACTGGACACACAGACGCTTCGTGGGCAGACGACGCCGAGACACTCAGGTCTACCCAGGGCTACTGCTTCAGCCTTGGCTCAGGTGCTGTCTCGTGGAGAGCTACCCGCTCCTCGTCTGTTGCACAGTCCAGCTGTGAGGCTGAGATCTACGCCGGTGCCATGGCGGCACAGGAGCTCCGCTGGCTGACCTTCTTGCTCACTGACTTAGGTGAGCGGCCTAGCTCTGCCCCGGTCCTGTTCGCTGACAACAGGGCCATGATCCTCCTGTGTCAGGAGCCTCGACTCGAGGGCAGAGCGAAGCACATTCAGATGCGGTACTTCCTCCTGCGTGAGCTACAGCAGCGACGTCAGGCTCGCGTAGTACACTTGGCCTCAGGTGCCAACACGGCTGATATCTTTATGAAGGCGCTTGCGCCTAAAGATCATCAGCGGCACTGTGTACAGCTTGGTCTAGTTCTTGTAGCCTCTCACTTGCTAGGACCTTGACTTTGTACTGTCCTTTATATGTATACTCAGACTGGACTTGTGTCCTCTCCCAGTGGCTGGACTAGTAGTGCCGCCCTGCTCTTGTGCTTGCCTTGTCTGTACTCCTTCTGACTGGTCGCTCAGACCCTTGTCTCAGAGGTTGGACTAGTAGTGCCGCCCTGAGCTGTTTGTTTAGGACTTTCCCCTATGTAGTCTAGGGGGTGTGTCAAACATGTCTATTTGTTATGTTTGTATAGACTGTATAGGGTAGCCTCTTAGAGGGTAGAACACTTAGCTATATTGTGTGTACTCTCTCCCTATCACTATCACTTGAATTTCTGATATTGACGTCCAAGTGGGGCACGTTTTGACATGGCAAAATCACGTGCCGCGTCATGCAGCCCACGACGCGCGACGCGAGACGATATTCGCAAGGCACAAATATCGTGTAAAATTTGCCACTTGGATTTGTTCGGAGTGTTGAATTGTGCGAGCTCCAAATAAAAAAACATAACCTCGACACAAAAAGGGTGCTGATCAAGATGGGTCCCAACTTGATAACCACTCTGCTATTTTGCCGTCGGGTTTTGAAGTCGTTGACCCAAATTGCATAATTCTGTCTCCAAACTTATTAAACATGAAAATCCCTCTCAAAAACCAAACATAACTCGTCAGAAGTGGAGCAGCAGCACAAAGTTGAAAGAAGCGACTGCGTTTTGGGACTTTTGACTTTGAGGGTGAATTCCCGAGCGAGTGTCAGACCCGAGGTCGACCCGAGGTCGACCCGCGGCCGAAGGAGCCGCGGATTGTCACAACCTAACTGCGGGTTTTATATTCTTGATGGTGCAACAGCTGCATAGTCGTGATCTGTCGCAAGGGTAGGGTTGCGACTACACTGGCCAAACTTTGCGAGTCCACCAGAAAATTGCGAATTTATGATTGGTGGAACTTCTTTTGTGCGACATAGTTAGTTGTTCAGTTTGACAGTTGACTGGCTGGAGCCGTAAGTTTTTTCCAGCCTCGGATCTTCCCGCTAAACCCTCGGGTCTAACACTCGCTGCGGAGTTTGCCCTGAGGGGATGATTGTGCGGTAGAAACTGTTAAAGTAGGGAAGTAGGGTTCAGCTAGGTAGCGAGAAGTTTAGTGAGAGAAAAGGGGAAGAATTAGACAAGAGAGAGATATACAAGAAGGGTGTTGTACCATCTACAGTAGGAACCAGCACTATGTATTACATCTATCTAGCCTATACATATATATCTATAAAATATATACCCCCTAGGCTTGGTAGGCGATACGCAGAGAAGAGACCAGGGAAGTACTACTAGTCTGTCCACTGGTTTTAGTAGTAAGCTAGGTCAAAACACACCACACACACATCACCTCTAAACCCAACACCCCTAAGCCTAGCACCCCTATACCCAGCAGCAGCGGCGGCTTCTTCAGCGCGGTCGACCCCTCGGCGTACGAAGAGGCGACGTCGGCAGCGGCGGTAGCGGCAGCGGCGGTGGCAGCGACGACAGTGGCGGCGGCGGCGGCAGACGGCGGCGAGGCGGCGGCAGGCGGCGGCGGAGCCAGCGGCACCTGCGGTGGCGGTGGCGGCTTCGACGGCGGCGGCGGCGGCGGCGGAGCTCGCCGCACCCGGCGGCGTAGCATGACTCCGCGACGGCGGGGAAGGACCAGGTGAGTCAGCCGTCAGCTGCGGCGGGGAGGAGGGGGGATGCAGGGGAGGGGGCGGGTCTTCTGCAGCGGAGCCAGGGAGTGAGCCGCCCTGGCTGGCACGCTGGCTGCGTGCGGGCATGCTGGCCGGCGCTAGATCAGCGCGCTGGCGGCTGCCGTCCGTGCACTGGCGCGTCGAAGCCGCCACGGCAGCACAACGATGCCGCCATGGCAGCACGTCGACGCCACGGCAGCGCATCGTCGCCACGGCAGCGCGTCGACGCCACGGCCGCGCGTCGAGGCCACGACGGCAGCATATCAAGGCCGCCATTGCAGCCCGACGAGGTCGCCACGACGGCATGAAAGTGAGAGGAGGGGGGAGAGTACGCGACGGAAGTGTGAGAAGAAGGCTCAGCAAGATCAGCCTGCTCTGAGCCATGTTAAAAGTAGGGAAGTATGTTTTAGCTAGGTAGCGAGAAGTTTAACGAGAGAATAGGGGGAGAACTAGACAAGAGAGAGAGATACAAGAAGGGTGTTGTACCCTCTACAGTAGGAACCAGCACTCTATAGTACACCTACCTAGCCTATACACACACGTATATATATATATATATAAATATAATGTTGACAGAAACTCCAAATTTTGTGCTTGTGATTGGTTACGCCCAACTTTATAGGGGCGAAACCTAACTTCCCCATTTCCCCCCCCACTCGGGCAAGGTGCAAGACTAATAATGTTGAACAATTTGGGTCAATGGATTTAAGAGGTAAACTTTGTGTGAATTTACACAGTAATCATGGATGTCGCTATTTATGGACATCCAAAACGCTTAGTTTTTGTCAAATTTCCATGGTGTTAAACGGTATGGTTTAGCGTTGCACTACAGTTCAACTATGCCTGTAGCGGATCTGTTCAGGGGGCTGAGATTTGCTGGACTGGTCTATTTGGCCCCCTTCGTCCATCATTGTGGGAAGTAGGATCAACAACAGCCGCCTCCCAGTGCAGTTAGTCGGCTGGCCCCAAGCCCGCTGCCTTCCTGCCTCGATCTCGCGTGGATCTGACGATCCGTACCCGGCCTCCCGCCAAGTCATATTCGACACGGCCCGTACCTCTCGCTCCGCCACACGCGCATCCCTCCACATCCGTGCGCTGTCTCTAGTGCCTCTCGTGCCTCTCGTGCCTCTCGTGCCTCTCGTGCCTCTCGTGCCTCTAGTGCCTCTCGTGCATTCTTCCAGATCCGCGCCTCGACAATGTCGTCAGCGATCGCCAAGTGCGCCAGTGACGCCAGCGGGCCTTTGCTGCGCGCCAAGCTGCTCCCCTGGGCCGCCGCCGCCCTGCTTTCCGCCACCTCTCGCGCCTTCTCCGCCACCAGCAGCAGCGCGGGGAGTTGCGCGCAAGCTGGGGGTGCGGGGCAGGGGGGAGTCGCGGGTGGGGAGGCGTCCGGCGGAGGGGGAAATTTAGCGGCGATCAAGGAGCTCCGCGCGCGCACGGGCGCGCCGGTGAAGGACGTGAAGGCGGCGCTGGTGGCGGCCGGGTGGGATCTGGGTGAGGCGTTACTGTAGGTAGGGAGGTGGTATTGTAGATGGAGAATACTATTGCGAGTGGGTGCTGTAGCGATGCTGTACTGACTGCTAGGGTGGATCTGGGTGAGGTGCTGTCTGGTAACAGAGCATCTGACGGGCAGGGTGGATCTGGGTGAGGCGTTTTGTGAATTGGATGTGGAGGGTCCGATTCACTGGCACTATTGCCACACAGCACCCTGCCAACAGTGCACAAGCCGAGCGAGCGGATGGCAGCAGATGGACTGCTGGGAGGGGGGGGCTGAAGCAACACCCAACACCCAACACCCACCACCCACCACCCACCACCCTTTCCCCACCAGCCCGCCCTCTTTTCCAGGCGCTGCATGCATGAAGCTAAGGGAAGGCGGCCTGGGAGGAGCACAAAGCACGCACTGCAGGATGTAAGGGAGCGCGCGTGGCAGCCGAGGGGCTGGCGGGGTTGGGGGGAGTGGCTCAGGGACTACCTCCCCCCTCCCTTCCCTCCTCCCCACTCCTTCCCCCGTCTCCCCCAAACGCTGCCTTTATACCGAGGGGGCGGTTGGTGGGAGTGGCGCAGGAACCACTCCCCTTTCACCCCCCCCCAACCTCCTTCCCCCCTTCTCCCCCAGATGCGGCATTCGCGGAGCTGAGAAAGCGGGGTGCAGCAGCGCAGAAACAAAAAGGGCACGCGTCGCAGCGGAGGGCGTGGCTCTCAAGCACCCAAGCCCCTTCTCCCAACCCCCGACTCGTTTTCTCTCCCCCAGACGCTGCGTTCACGGAGCTGAGGAAGAGAGGCCTGGCAGCGGCGCAGAAGAAGCGCGCACGCGTGGCAGCAGAGGGGCTGGTGGGCGTGGCGGTGCGGAGAGGGGTGGGAGCAGTGGCGGTGGAGGTGAACAGTGAGACGGACTTTGTGGCCAGGAACGACCTCTTTCAGCTGCTGGTGAGCTGGGCCGTAGGCTGCTCCAGTGAGCTTGTCACTGCGGTGAGAGCAGTGAGTGTAGCCGTGAGGCGTGGGCGCAGTGGCGGTGGAGGTGAATAGTGAGACGGACTTTGTGGCCAGGAACGACCTCTTTCAGCTGCTGGTGAGCTGGGCCGTAGGCTGCTCCAGTGAGCTTGTCACTGCGGTGAGAGCAGTGAGTGTAGCCGTGAGGCGTGGGCGCAGTGGCGGTGGAGGTGAATAGTGAGACGGACTTTGTGGCCAGGAACGACCTCTTTCAGCTGCTGGTGAGCTGGGCCGTAGGCTGCTCCAGTGAGCTTGTCACTGCGGTGAGAGCAGTGAGTGTAGCCGTGAGGCGTGGGCGCAGTGGCGGTGGAGGTGAATAGTGAGACGGACTTTGTGGCCAGGAACGACCTCTTTCAGCTGCTGGTGAGCTGGGCCGTAGGCTGCTCCAGTGAGCTTGTCACTGCGGTGAGAGCAGTGAGTGTAGCCGTGAGGCGTGGGCGCAGTGGCGGTGGAGGTGAATAGTGAGACGGACTTTGTGGCCAGGATCGACGTCTTTCAACTGCTGGTAATCTGTGAATCGTAAACCCTGAGCCCTGGCTCGTGGACTTTTGGCTGATGACTGCTGTGGAGGTGGAGATGAACAGTGAGACGGGCTTTGTGGCCAGGAAGGAACGACCTCTGTAAGTCGACCTTAAACCCGCAACCCTCCTGCTTGGCACTTTCACGATGGAATTTGGGGGCCAAAGTGACTTTGGACGACGAGTGCAGTGACCAGATGGTGTGGCCTTGCGAGTGAGTGAGTGAGTGAGTGAGTGAGTGAGTGAGTGAGCGAGTGAACATACCATTCCCAGTTGCGGGTGAGTGATCAAGCGGCGGCGCCATTCAAGCTGGTGAGTTGGGGATTGCGACGGTTGGGAATTTCAGTGAGTCTGTCAAATGTTGGAGGGGATGGGCTGCTCGTGAGGAGATGGGTGGGTGCTGTGGTGATGGGGGTGAACAGTAAATGTGACGTGTCAGATGCTGGCGAATTTGGCATTGTTTCACACATCGAGAGGTGTGGGGGGGCAATATTTCCCTCTTACTCAAATTCTTCCGCCTCCCCGGGATCTCCCTCCCACCTCTCTCCCAGCTGTCGTCCACCCCTCTCAGATTGCTTTCCCTCCTCCCTCCCTCTTCGCCCCAATATCCCTCCCGCTCTCCCCCTCCTCCCTCCCACCTCCCCCCTCACCGCCCTCCCACTTCCTCCCCATTTCCCTCCCACGTCGCCCCCACCCCCTCCGGCTTTTCCCCCACCTCTCACTCTCCCTCCTTGCAGGTTTCCAAGGCAGCAGCAGCTGCGCTGAGCCTTCCCCCGTCTTCCTCCTCGTCCGTGCTCCCACAACCTCTTCCTCTGGCGGAGCTTGAAGTGAGCCCGTGACCTGATCATTGCTCATGTGCTTCTACCACTCCCTCCTCCTCACTCCCTCCCCCTCTCTACCGCATTTTGTCTCCCTCCTCCTCACTCCCTCCACTCTCCCTCCGCCTCTCTCCTCCTCTCTCCCTCTGCCTCTTCCCATGGCGGATCTTGAGGCGAGTGTGACAGTGGCTTGCGTGATATTTCCGAAAGCAGCAACAGTACATCCCGTAAGAAGCATTATCTTTTTGGCGGTCCGTCTCGACGTTCCCTCACCTGCTCTGCCCTCCCTCCCGTCGTACTTCCAAAATCCGTCCCTCCTCACCGTTTTCCCTAACGCTCCTATCCCTCAACGCTCACAACAAGCTACAGTGCCTCTTCGGCTCCACCCCCCTATCTTTTCCTCGCTTTTACCCTTCCTTTTTCTCCCAACCCCATCTCCGTAGACAGATGGTAACTCCGCGCACCTGCACATGCGCCACCCATGCTCACCCACAGCTTTAGGCAGCAGACGCCTCTCAGAGACTGTGGCAGAGGTAGCTGCTGTCATAGCCATGCCTTGTCCCCCCCCCACCCCCAACCACCGCCCCCACCAGCAAGCCACCGTGTCTTTCGACCATCCAAAGCTGTGTGGCAGCCGGCAACTATCGGAGGCAGTAGCAGAGGTGGCAGCTCTAACTGGGGAGAACGTGAAACTGCGTCGAGCCTTCCTGCTGCCCGAGCCTCGGCCCTCAGGCTCGGTGTCCATGTACCTGCACAGCAGCCCCGGCGCTGGGTTGGGCCGGATAGCTGGTCTGGTGTCCCTGTCTGCTTCCCGAGCAGCAGAGAAAGGTGCAGCAGCGCCAGTGGAAGTAGCAGCAGAGGATGCAGCAGCAGCAGCAGCAGGGGGGGTGGGGGATGGAGTGGCGATGCACTTGGTGGCGATGAGGCCGCTGTACTTGAGGCGAGAGGACGTGCCGGGAGGGGTGGTGGAGAGGGAGAGCGACGTGCTGCGAGCACAGGTGCGTGAGTCAATGCGAGTAGACGGGTTATTTTGTGCAAGTCAACAAGTGAGTAAGCATACGATTCAACACAGGTCAACGAGGGAGTCAAGAGTTGAAGCTTCTCGACTTTCTGTGGCATGGGTCTGGCTCACACCAGCAACTTGTGCTGCTCTCATCCCCTGAGCCCCCCTCCCTTCATCTCTCACTTCTTCCCTCCGCTCTCCTCTTCCTCCACTCAGGCTGTAGCAGCGGGCAAGCTAGGCAGCATGGTTCTGAGGCGGCTGAACGAGTCTCCTGTGATGCTTCGGACTGCCCTCTTTCTCCCTCTCTTTTTTCGCCTCTCCTCTCTCTCCTCTCTCTCCTCTCTTCTTCATTCCCTTACCCCAGGCCATGGCAGCGGGCAAGCCAGCCAGCGTAGTGGATAGAATGGACCTGGATGGCTTAATGCTTGTTTGCGCCAGGCTTCGCCGTTTCCTTTTTTACGCTCTTTCCTTTTTAAGGCTCTTTCCTTTCTAACTCTCTTTCCTCCCCCATCGAGGCCATGGCAGCGGGCAAGCTGGCCAACGCGGTTGAAAAGATGGGGATGGGGCAGATTTGACTCGATTCACATCCCCTCCCCTCGCTGTTCCCATGCCTCTGCTGTGGCGCCTCTGTCGCTCCGCTCCTCTCCAGGCCACAGCAGCAGGCAAGCCGGCCAACGTGGTGGAGAAGATGGTGGCAGGGCGGCTGAACAAGTACTATGGGGAGGTGGTGCTGGTGGAACAGGCCTATGCCATGGACGACAAGAAGACAGTGGAGGTGGGTGTTGGATTCTAGCAAGCAAGGAGTGTGCGTATGGGTGTGCTGCTACCAGCGAGTGCTAGGGGAGGTGGTGCTTATGGAACAGCCGTATGCCATGGACGACCAGAAGTCAGTGGAGGTGGGTGTTGGAATAGAGCAGAAGGAAATGCAAGTGCGGGTTTGAGGAAGTACTATCGGGAGGCCATGCTGGTGGAGCAGGCATATGCCATGGAAGATGAGGTGACAGTGGGCGTCAGCTTTTCTTTTGCTTTGCGGAATGTAGGAACAGACTTGTGAGTTTGCGAGCGCACATTCCATTTTTTTTCCCCTCGCTGCCACGCTCCCACAGGCTCCATCTCCACCCTCCTGCTCCCTGCTCTTGTCCTTTGGATTCTGTTGTGATTTTTCACTGTGCATGCTCTCTTCTGCATGCTCTCTTATGCGTTTTTCGCTGTGCATGCTCTCTTCTGCATGCTCCATTCTATGCTGCACAGAAAGTGTTGGCAGAAGCTTCCAAGAAGGCGGGGGCGACCATCAGAGTGGAGCAGTTCCTCCGGGTGGAGGTTGGAGAGGGCATTGAGAGGTACGACCGGTTCTTACCCTTGTAATTGAGTAATATAGCTGGTTCTTACCCTCGTTATTGAGTAGTATTACTGGTTCTAACCCATTGTTGAAACTTGAAAGGGTTTATTATTTTATTCCGAAACATTAGCAGCATTAACAATCTGGATGAACTGTACTGTAGGGGCGCGTGAATCATTGAATAAGTCCTTGCACCACACCAGTACACCATTTTCTGTACCAATCTCAGGGCAATGCATGCCGCTACAAACTGTCTGGTGCATGTGATTCTCTGCGATTCCCCGGTGTTTGCAACGGTGGCACATGGCAGGGAGGCCAAGGACTTCGCATCAGAGGTGGCATCGCAGGTGGCCTCCTCCTCGTGACCACGACACTGCAAAGTGGGCAGAAAAAGGAAGCCATTTCCCTCGTGAGTCGTGCGTTGTGGCCGCAAGACTGTCGCGATCTTTCCTGGTGTCAGCGGCAGGGTCTCCTTGTGCCACCCATTGCCATGACAACATCATGGCAGCCGTTGCTGCGAAGCCCCACCCCTCCAGTCATTGGATGGCATAGACTGGGGCATGTTGTATGCATGCCTGAGCAGTTGGAACTTCATTAGCTATAGTCACGGCCTGCATGATGGGTTACAATATAAATTTTGTATTCCAGAGAATAAGATCGCAGAAATTTTGTATGCTCAAGCAGGGGAAAGTGCAAAAGAACTTAAAAGACGCAAAGACTCAAAAGACGATATGTCACGTACCTCCCCAACTCCTTCAGTGTTATAACCTTTGGCTTTGTTATGAGTGGGAATGGAACAACCGACTCAGCAATGGAAATACTACCTCGGAAAATAATCAAATCAGCCAGTGACGAGCAAACTGGCAAAATAAGGCACGGATGTGCTAGGACGAGCTAGGGCGAGGACCTCATGACGTGATGTGGTTTGTCTCACAGTAACAAATTGACTAGAATAGGGTGTACATGGTAGTTTTGTGCTAGTGTTATACTCTCTAAAAGCATTCACATATCTAACCTATAATAGCATATGCATATATGTTTGACACACCCCCAAGGCTAGAAAAAGGGCAGTGCTTGGCAAGCGACATGCAACTCAGGGTGGCACTACTAGTCCAACCTCTCAGACAAGGGTATGAAGACCAGTCAAAAGAGTACAAACTAGACAAGAGCAAACCAGGGCGGCACTACTAGTCCGGCCATTGGAAGAAAAGCCACAAGGCCAGTCAGGAGAATATATAAAAAGAGAATTACACAATCAAGGCCCTAGCAAGTGAGGAGCTACACGAACTAGACCAAGCTGTACACAGTGCCGCTGATGATCTTTAGGCGCAACTGTTAACGTGAGAATGAATGGTTAGAATGAGAGATACAAGGTGCTTTTGTGCTAAGGGTTTGTACTCTCTTAGAATACGCACCTATCTGGCCGATAAGACATATAAATATGTTTTGACAGCAAGCGCCTTAGTAAAGATATCGGCTGTATTGGCACCTGCGGCCAGGTGTACTACGCGGGCCCAGCGGCGCTGCTGTAGCTCGCGCAGGAGGAGGTACCGCAGCTGGATGTGCTTCGCTCTGCCCTTCAGTCGAGGCTCCTGACACGAGAGGATCATGGCCCTGTTGTCGGCATACAGGACCCAAGCAGAGCTAGGCCGCTCAGCTAAGTGTATCAGCAAAAAAGTCAGCCAGCGAAGCTCCTGCGCTGCCATGGCACCAGCGTAGGTCTCAGCCTCACAGCTAGACCGTGCAACAAACGACGCGCGGGTGGACCTCCATGAGATGGCACCTCCACCAAGGCAAAAGTAGTAGCCCTGGGAGGACCTGAGTGTCTCAGCATCGTCCGCCCACGAAGCGTGTGTGTGCCCTGTAAGGACCACTGGCCTGCGTCCTCCTAGCACTAGGCCCATGTCCGATGAACTTGCTAGATAACGCAAAACCCTCTTGGCGACCGACCAGTGCTGTGGGCGGTGTTTGTCTGCCGCCACAAAGCGAGACAGGATGCTGAAAGGGTATGCGAGATATGGACGAGTACAAGTCATCAGGTACATGAGGCAACCCACCAGCTGTGCTTATGGACCAATAGGCTCTACCGACTCCTCAGGGATTGGAGCCGAGAGCCTGTGATCTACTGGTAGAGGTGTGGGTTGTGCGGAGGAGAACTGAAGACCGAACCTCAGAAGGACCTGGCGCACCAAGTGTGATTGTGTAAGAGTGATGGTGCATGCTGCTCTGTCCCTAGAGATCTGCAGGCCAAGGTAGCGGCACAGCTCTCCTAGGTAAGTACACGTGTGTCTCCTCAGCAGCTCAACCTTCACGGAGGCCAGTGCGTCACCGTCTGTAGTAGCAAAGACCAGATCGTCTACGTAGACGAGGATGTAGAACAGAGTTTGGCCTAAACGAACTAAGAGTGAAGGGTCTACAGACGACATGAAGAACTGCAGGTCAGCTAACGTAGAACGATGCGTATCGTGCCACTCACAAGGTGCCTGCCGCAGGCCGTAAACCGGGCGCCGGAGAAGCCACTGGGTCCCAACGGCGAAGGTGCTGGTGAATCCTGGCTGGCGGCACAGGTAGACCTGCTCGTGCAGACTGCCCTGGAGAAATGCTGTACAGAAGTCGAGGGAGTGCAGCTCATAGTCACGAGCTCCTTGAACACCGGTGGCTCTCCAGGAGGGCGCTTCACTTTGAAGAGGCACCGGCCATCAACTACGTTCAACCCTGGTGGGGGAAATGCGTTGATCTAGGTGCCAGTGGATCTCCAAGATGCCATCTCCACGTCCATGGCAGCTATCCACTGAGAGGTCCAGGGTCCCGAGGACGCCTCGGTGCGCGCTCACCAGCTGTTGACGGTGAGAGAGAAATCGGAGAGTGGAAAGAAGTTCCCGGCGGTCTGGCCAAGGGACTGACCCTAACGAGGTCATCATGCCAAGAGGAGAGGCGTTGAGGAACTCCAGAAATGAGGAGGAGACTAGAGGGAGGCGCTAGGTGCTAAAGGAGCACTAGCAGAGGTTGTAGCCGTGGTGGCTGTGGCCGGAGCAGTGGCAGCGAGCAGGAGGCTTGTAGTAGCAGCGACTAGTGGTAGGTTGATGGCAGCAGGTTGAGTGACAGGAAGACGGCAGTGGCACTAGCTGGCAGCGGGCTGGGAGCAATAGGCGGCAAGCTGGGATCGGTGGACAGTGGCTTGTAAGCGGCTGGCGGGAGGCTAGGAGCTGCAAAGAGGAGTAGGGAGCAAACGAGGAGGAAGTACGCGCGAGAGGAGCTACTAGGAGCAGCACGCCGAGGAGCTAGCTAGGAGTCACTAGGACTGCGGCACAGGAAGAATGACAATCCACAGGGCACAGGGGACTCACGAGGCTGGTCTCCTACTGGCGACTGGCAGCTGGCGGCCGACTCGCAAATGGCGGCTGGTGGCCGACTGCCGCTGGCGGCTGGTGGTCAGCAGCTGGCCATGAGTGGTGGCTGGCGGATGACGGCTGGGGTTCGGCGGCTGGTTTCCTGCGGTCGGCTGCTGGCGGCTGGCGACTGGTGCTGGCTGCTGGTGGCCAGGCTGGTGGAGGCTTAAGCTGACGGTTGGCAACAACAGTGGCGACAGGAGCAGAGCGGCGGGAGCGGCAGCTGCAAGGGCAGTGGCGGCTGCAAGGGCAGCGGTGGCAGTGGCAGCTGCACGGGCAGCAGCGGCAGTGGCGGCTGCAGCTGGCGGTTGCAACGGCAGCTGCAGTGGCGGCAGCGGCAGGGGCTGCAGCAGGTGCGGCAGTGGCAGCGGCGGCAGCACAAGCTGCAGTAGTGGAAGCTGCAGCAGCGGCAGTGGCGGCAGCAGCTGAGGCAATGGCAGCGGCGGCAGCGAAAGCGGCGGCAGTGGCAGTGGCAGTGGCAGCGGCTGCAGTGGCGGCAGTGGCGGCTGCAAGGGCACGGCTGCAGCAGCTGCTGCAAGGGCGGCGGCGGCAGTGACGGCAACAAGGGCAGTGACGGCAGTGGTGGTTGTAAGGGCAGCGGCAGCAGCGGTGGCTGCTCGGGCAATGGCGGCAGTGGCTGCTGCAGCTGGCCGCTGCAGCGGCAGAGGCGGCAGCGGCAATGGCGGCAGCTTCTGTGGCAGCAGCTGCAGCGGCAGAGGTGGCAGCGGCAGTGGCGGCAGCTGCAGTGGCGGCAGCAGCTGCAGCAGTGGCAGCGGCGGCAGCGTGGGCTGCTGCAGCGGCAGTGGTGGCAGCGGCAGTGGCTGCAGTGGCAGCGGCGGCTGCGGCAGTGGCTGCAGTGGCAGCAGTGGCTGCAGTGGCAGCGGCGGCTGTGGCAGCGGCAGTGGCTGCAGATGTTGCGGCAGTGGCTACAGCGGTTGCGGCAGTGGTTGCAGCTGCAGCGGCAGTGGCAGCAGTAGTGGTGGCAGTGGCAGTTGCAGTAGTGGCGGCAGTGGCAGCTGCAGCAGTAGTGGTAGCAGCGGCAGTGGCACAGGCAGCAGCAGTGGTTGCAGTGGCAGCGGCTGCAGTGGCGGCGGCGAAATGGCAACTAGCTGGCAGCAGTGGTTGGCCCAGCAGCAAGTTGGTCAGTGACGAGCTGGCAGGCGCTGCTGGCGAGTAGCTGGCAGCAGGTGCTGGCGAGTAGCTGGCAGCAGGTGCTGGCAGCGAGCTGGCGGACGTTGCTGGCGGCTTGTTGGCTGGCGCTGCTGGTGGCGAGCTGGCTAGCACTGCTGGCGGCGCGCTGGCTAACACGGTTGGCTGTTAGAATTTCCGGCAGCGCTCTCGCCGCTCTCAGGTCGTTCTTATACTCCAAACCGACTCCCGACAGCACTTGCGCAAGTACTAAGGGTAGTCTTAACACCACCAGTCAAGTTCTGGTTGCAAACAGGCAGCACGACGTGAGGGAGAATTTTCAGATTCACTATGTACAAAGAGATACAAAGAAACAAATTTATTTGAAAACATTTCCTAAGACACATGACATTGTGTAGCGCACATCCGAACCGCATTTCACACAATATAACCGAACCGCATTTCTGCTCCTCCGAACACCGCGTCACTACCAGATTCTGCTCGTCGCTCACAAGTCCTCCGCGTGTCCCAAACACCTCCTCCTTCCAACACGTAACCTTGCAGCCCCTCACCACCTAGCACACCCATATGTAGTCCTCAGCTTACGCCACTTGTTAGCGCTGCCATACTGCCACCTAGCTTACGCCATGCTGCCACGCGTTGACTAGGGGCAAGCGCGAACCACTTCCAGCACTGGCGAGCTAGGACGACCAACTCAGTAATGGAAATACTACATCTGAAAAAAATCAAATCAGCAAGTGACGAGCGAACTGGCTAAAATAGGGCACGGACGTGCGAGGACGAGCTAGGGCGAGGACCTCGGGACGTGATGTGGTTTGGATGGGTGGCGAGGGTCTCGGAACGCAACACGTGGAGGTTTGGACCGACAATATAGGCCGAACATGCGACTTCGAGGTCTTCGGGTGTATGCGGTGCAGTAAGGAACTGTAATTCCTTATAGGCTTGATGTTATGAATTATAATTCAGAGTATAGCGCAGTATTCAATAAGGGGAACGTGATTACAATGTGTCGATAGAAATTAGGCCTAGGCAATACATAGGTGTGTTGATCAGGGTTGAATGTCGAGGGTTGGACCAGTCAAGGGCCGAGAGTCCCGAGAATGACGGAGCCGAAATGGGTTCGGGGCGACTCGGGAAGAGATTTGGGACCGAATAGATTGGCGGGGGCT